GCCGTGCGGTTTATATCTTGGCGGCGCTGTGGTTGTAAACACAAAGCCTGTAGAATATGACCCACATTCATTATGTGGCCAAACATGCAATAAAAACTACACAAATTTGATCAAAAACACTGAACTCATGTGCAGCCAATACTCTAAAATATTTTCCATGTGACAGAATGTAAGTTGTTATCTTATTTTACACTGTAGGTAGGCCTATGTCTTACTGTTTTTTGTTTATCTTTTATTTATTTGTAGCATTTTTTTTTTTTGTATTTTTTCCATCCATCCATTTTCATCAGCAGCAGGCCAAGCAATGCACCCCAGACGTCCCTCTCCCCTGCAAGCTTTCTAGCTCCTCCTGTAGGACCCCAAGGCATTCCCAATCCAGATGAGATATGTAATCCCTCCAGCGTGTTCTGGGTCTGCCCGGGGCCTCCTACCAGTGGGACGTGCCCGTTACATCCCCAACGATCTTGATCAGATGCCCGAATCACCTCAACTGACCCCTTTAGACATGAAGAAGCAGAGGCTCTACTCCGAGCTCCCTCCTTGTATGTGAATACTTAGCCATTAATCAGATTCCGATTCCTGTTTAAGCTTCACGTTAACATAGTTTCATTGTACTGTACACATTATATATTGTCACAGCTCATACTATACATATTAAATTGGATTTATTATCATTGTTCAGAGTGCAAGTACCCTCACTTGTCCCAACCCTCACCTATGGTCATGAGCTCTGGGTAGTGACTGAAAGAATGAGATTGTAAATACAAGCGGCCAAAATGAGTTTCCTCTGTGGGGTGGCTGGGCTCGGCCTTTAGAGATAGGGTGAGGAGCTCGGACATCTGGAGGGAGCTCGGAGTAGAGCCGCTGCTCCTTTGCATCAAAGGGGTCAGTTGAGGTGGTTCTGGCATCTGAACAGAGGGGTATTCCAGAAAGCGGGTTTAGTGAGAACTCTGAGTAAGTTAACCCTGAAATGAGGGAAACTCTGAGTTATCCGTTCCAGAAAGAGAGGTAACTGAAACTCTGAGTCAGTCACCATGGTAACAGACTCTGTGAACATAACCTGCTCTCTGACAGGTTTTCTTCATTAAACCCTGAGTTTTTCTCTGTCTCCTCCCTCTTACACGCTGTTTCATTTCCTCATTCATTCAGTCCGTGTCAAAGCTTGTATCGAAGCGCATTAATTAGCGGAGATTTACCGTCCGTCACAGTCTAAACCCTGCTGGATATTAGTTTGTTACTCAGGACTGTCTTAAGTTACTGAATTTATGCACATCAATCATTTCTTTGGAGATCGGTTTTTGTCTTTACATTCAAATATTACACAGCGAGAATTCACCCTCAGCTCAGAGTCAAACCTCTGTCCTTTTTATATTTATTATTTTTTATAACACTGTGCACAAGGATCAGACTGTCATTCTGTTAGAGCAGCTCCGAAATGTTTGTTGCACATAATGTGTAGGTCTAATTATTGAAATTTTAAAAATCGGTATGAAGCTTCAGACACGTAGTATCAATGACTAATGATCTCTATCACTGATGTCATTGGTCGCATTGATGGAACATAATTCCTATAGCCTAATATTGGGGATTATATGTTAATATTTCTGAGTGAGCAATGGTGCAGCATTTCAGTGTCTTTAAATTTACTACATTTGTAGCTGAAATAAAGTCACTGAATGCTTTTGAGTCAAGATACAAATAGATGTGCAACATTTTAAAATCTACTGTATTTTAACTTCAACGTCTTTTCAAGTGTAAATCACCAAACATATTATTACTGGGTCACACTGTGAGTTTACAGTCATGTCTTTATGTCTTTGATCTATAGCCTAGCCTATGTGTTTAAAATCTTCCTATTTTTCAGTTGCTGCCTCCTGTGTTTTTCCTCATCAGATTAAATCTGAACAAATATATTACATATTATTAATATAATGCAATGTATCTACAGCCTGATACACAGTCAGATTCCACCACTTTATCTTCATAAAGGAAATGTAAGTCTGATAAATGATGAATAAACGGACAACACTGAATAAAACTTTTTATTAACTTTATGGTTAACTTATTTACACTTTCCTTGCTCTGACTCAGGCTCTTCTTTTAAAGATAAATGTGCACCATCTGCTACACATGCATTAATATCTCTACATCCACTGGATTAAAATGGAGGCGCTGTCTTTTATTTACCTGTTGCCATGGTGAATCGTGGAGTTGGAGCTCCATTGATGATGGCTTTTTATTGTCAGCTTAACTCAGAGTGAACATACTCAGAGTTGACTGAACTAACTCAAATCAGCTGGTCTGGAACCGGTAACTCAGAGTTTCCCATCTCAGGGTAAATCAACTCAGAGTTCAGGGTTAGACTCAGGGTTTGTTGAACCTCCTACCTGGAATACCTCAGGATGCCTTCCGGGCACTTCCCACTGATAGGAGGCCCCGGGGCAGACCCAGAACATGCTGGATCGATTACATATCTCATCTGACCTGGGACCTCCTTGGGGTTCCCCCAGGAGGAGCTGGAAACCATTGCTGGGGAGAGGGACGTCTGGGGTGCTTTGCTTGGCTTGCTGCCCCCGTGACCCAGCCACAAGTAAGCGGATGAAAGTGGATGGAGCACTGAGACAAGAAAATGTGTGTATAAACGGCTCATTCACAGGTAGCGAAAACACAGTGATTCTTCAGGTGATCATACACAAATTAGAGTCATAAATATTATATTCAATTTCTGCCAATAGATGCCCCTAAATCCTACAGACTGGACTTTTCATTAGTATGTTTAATAGTTAAGTCCCATCGTACCATACACATCTATATTTGGTTGTTGTTGCTCATGTTGTACAGTCATTCATATTTATATCTGTATGCACTTTGCTATCTGGTTAAATGCTAAACTGCATTTTGTTGTACTCGTACCTACGCTGTGCAAAAACACTAATCTAATCTAATCTAATCTGATGTAATCTAATCAGAGTTGAACATACAAACATCATGTGGCTGCACAACTGCATAAAATGAAAATGTCAGAATGAAATAAAAGCCTGACGAGCAGTAACTTTGTAAAATATGAGTGAAATCAGAGCTAACATTTCTGTGGTTTGGACTTGTGGTTGTTTGTTGTGATGAACCTGCTGGTGGAGCCACTGTTTTAAATAAGAAGCAGCAGGAATGGACCGCATTAACAGTTTCAAGCTTTGTTTATTCTTTAGAAAACAGCATTTCTCAAGTCAAGGCCACCATACCCCTGCGAGAGATGATTACATTAGCTGTAACTACAATATTGCATGCATTTATTCACTTTTGGAATGAGCTGTGTGCAACACGCACCAAGGAGGAGGGGGAGTGCAATAGAAAGTGCTTGTAGAAAAATCTTGAATCTTCCTCCTCTAGTGGAAAGGGACTGCTAGGAATGTGCAAAAATGATGGTCAAAAATCATGAGAAAGTCTCTCATCCTCCACATTTCCACATCTCTTGTATTCTTATGACTTCTACCTGCAGTATCATGGAGTCACTGTGAGATTAAAGCATGTTTATCAGCTTTTTGTGTCCACTGTATTCAAGCTCAGGAAATACATGGTTAGTTGTTGAAGTACACAATACAAAATCATTACAGACTCAGACTTTTGCTCTTATGGCATATAAAAGGCTTATTTTACAATACTAAATGCTTGTCATTCCACTTCTCCAATCTGAAAGAATCTGCCTCTCATATTCAGAGATGTAGGGCATAGTTGCAAATAATCAGTCCTTTAATCCAGTGCCTGATTCATTCTGAGTTGGCCTGAGAAGCCTTGTCTGGCCCCACAAAGGAAAAATAAAACCTAATAAATCCCCTGTGTAGTCGACGTTTTTAATTCCCTGTATGACTGATTTTTGGAAAAATAGGGCTGATTGGTTAAATGGCTGCAGGTAAGAGACAAGCCCAAATGTAATATCTTCTCCTTTTCTGTAATATGGTTTTATTATATGTTATGCAACCCTTACGTGCACTTCGTTCAAAGGAAAGCTCTGACCCGAGCACGCAATGGTTTCAAGCTGGACTTATACAGTGATTATTTTACCAAAAAGAAACACTTTGTCATGTTGCAAAAGACGTTTGACAAAGTTTTCTTGTAAAGTTTCCTAATGATCACTTTTAAAACATTTATGGAGAGTAACTCTGAAGGTTGAAATATCACTCTTAGCTGCAGCAAGATAACCAATGCATCACAGTGATGTATCACAGTGTTTTCTCACAGTGGAGCTGATATCATAGGCTACACATGGTCGCTAAAAGCATCAAGAATTAATTTCTGTGCAAACATGATTACATGTTACAGGGACAGTTCACCCCTAAATCAAAAACACAAATTTTTCCTCTTACCTGTAGTGCTATTTTCACTCTAGCTTATTTCAGTGTGAGCTGCAGTGTTGGGGATATCAGCTGTAGAGATGTCTGCCTTCTCTGTAATATAATAGAACTAGATGGCGCTCAGCTTGTGGTGCTCAAAGCGCCAAAAAAATAAATTTGGAAAAACTCAACAGCAATGTCTCTTTTCAGAAATCATGATGCGGATACTCAAGATAATCCACAGACCTTGTTGTGAGCAGTTTCATGTAGGAACTGTTTTCTTTCTACCGAACTACACCCACCAATCATATTACGGTGCAGAAGGAAGAGTGCATCTATTCATTTATGAGAGGCTTGTGCTCATGACAGCTCAAGATCTAAACATTGATGGTGTCCTCCTCAGCTGGGCTGTAACGTTAGCTAGCCCAGTGATGCTAGGTGAGCTAGTAGTAGATGCACACACTTCTGCGCTGTGATGTGGTTGGTGGGTGTAGTTTGGTGGAAAGGAAATAGTTCCTACATGAAACTGCCCACAACAAGGTCTGTGGATTATCTTGAGTATCCGCATCATGATTTCTGAAATGTGAAATTACTGCTGAGTTTTTCAAAGTAATTTTTGGCGCTTTGAGCACCACAAGCCGAGTGCCATTTAGTTGCATTATATTAGGAGAGAAGGCAGACATCTCTACAGCTGATATCTCCAACACTGCGACTCACACTAAAACAATCTAGACTGATAAAGAGCACTACAGGTAAGAGGAAAATATGTGTTCATGATTTCAGGTGTATGTCCCTTGTAAGATTTTTTGACGACCACAAATGATAACATAATCTGTCCCTGTGTACTGCAGACTTAAAACAGCCAATAGGTTTCATTTCTATAAGTTTTTACTGCTTATTGCTTGTGCTTTCTGTATGTGTAAACATCCTGCTTGTTATTTGTCCCATGTAAGTGTAACACTCGCAGGCCGAAGTATAATTCAAACATTTAAAGCTAACTCTTTGGCTGACTGGTCGCTATTTCTATTATGTAGTGCGTTCAACACCTTTGAGTATTCCAATAATGTCATCTTATCTTTGGAGCTGGAAAATGTTGCAGAATATAGGTTCCTATATATTATTACACTAGAAGAGTCTCGTATATATAATATCAAAATCTACAAAGTGTAACACATTTCCATCAAGGAATAAATGGCAAAGCACTTGAAACAAATGAGATTTGACTAAGCTCCCATTACATGCTGCTTCCAAAACTCTACTGTGCTATAAAGAAAGTGCCTATCCTCTTGTCTTTTCAAAGCAGTGACAGTTTCACCCTTCTAAAAATGCTGGTTTATATAAAAAATAAAGCAAATCTACAAACAGAATGGAATGTTTTTAAGGCCACAAAGTAAAAACATATCGCCACAAAGAAATATGTATAAAGTAGAAGCTTTAAAGCCAGCACTTTTTAAAGGTAATAAGATATACTGCAGAAGCTTTGTCTGGAAATCACCCTGACTCCCCCTGTTCAAACAATATACAACCAACTAAGTGTTTTATAAGTTTAAAGGTAAACATCGACTCGTCTATTAATACCAATTGTAAACTTTTAAATGATGGCAGTGCCAATTTAAGACAGGAAGTGTCAATACGAGGGATCTGGATGCTTTAACCCCCTGCCTCAGTCACCTCTGACCAAGCCTGGACTTTAACAGGCCAAGTAATGTGCATAATAAAGATGCTGGTGAATTGGCATCATGTTTGTACTGCCAATGTGGTTTAGCTGCATGTTTGTTTGTGGGTGGCATGATAAGGCTTTAGTTCTGAATGTGTGCTTGTGTTGTGCGCTGGTAGCATTGCATCAAGATTACAAAGGCTCAGAGGTCCTCTAACTGGATTTCTTCTGGTCACCGGCGCCTGTGCCTCTCGACTTGTTCAACACCACCGTGGCCTGAAAACAGAGGAGAAAAAAAAGGGAATATAATTAATTCGACGGCATGCTGTGTGAAGTGTTTCTTGCAACACTCGCCAACTTCTGTTTTTTGAGTTTTCTTTTTCTGCTGCTGTGGTTAATTCACTGAAACCTCTCAGCTTCACCGCCATATGTTTAGCCCTGTCAGGAAGTGCACCAGGTCAAACCACTTCTGGTTTCATGTGAGTAAGAGGCATGATATTCAACTTTGAACTGCCTCTGAGGGGTTTTAGACTCTCACCATTTTGAGTTTGAATGCTGGATCCAGCTTATACTTTTAAAATGGTGTCTGTTATCTAATTAAAAGTCTACATATGAATTTTTAAATATACCATGCAATATTTTCCTCAACAATAATATATAGACTCATACAGAGATACTTCCTCTCAGTCATTACTTAGAACCCACTAGAAGTGAGTGGCAGTGAAACTCTGCCCTGTGCCTGTGTTCTTATTTCCTGTGTTCAGGATGTTCATAGGCATGCACCCCTTCAGTGCTCAGGCGAGGGCGGGGCTTTATAAGACAGTAGAGACCAGGTGCCAGACCATAAGCAGCAGTCATCCAAGAGACACAGCACTGAGAGTAAATCTAGGGCTGGCTTTTACTTTTGATGGCGAGTGTGGTTATGAACAGTCACCCACAGTTTTGCGTAGTATACCTTTAATGGCTAAATGAAAGGGGTTGCAATAGTTCAAGTCACAGTGAAACATATTTCCGCGTGCAACAGAACATCTGGGTGGAGTTCAGCTCTTGAAGGATTTAATCAAATATTAACATGTAGGGCTGTTTATGTATTCGCACAAAACTGTCACTGTATGTGAGATCAAGGTCTGATCAAGGTCGGAAAGTGTTCTTTGAGTGTTTGTTCAGTGTAATACACAAGCGTTTAAAATGTTCCTTATTTTTTTAATGTAAATAGTTTATCAAAAATTGTCAGTGGGCAAAATGCTCTCAGTCCCCAGCGAGAGGATTTTGTCTGTCTTTGACACTACTCTATTCAAATTAAATGAAAACCAACGTGTCTGTATGAATCTATTTTTTCACCACTGTATTGACCTCGAACTGAACCATGACTCTTAAACCAAGGTATGAACCTAACTGTGACATTTGGTTTGGGCAAAAACATGACTCGATGTGGAGCTTGAGAGGATTTTGGCCTCGACACTCACTCACCCACTTTGTTTAATCAAGAGGACAACGGTTAAATGAATAATCAGACATCAGCCACATTCTGTGTTTAACAGGTTTACCAGCTATAATATCTAAACATACACCTCCTAATTTGATACTGCCCTGCTGGCAAAGTGTGGTTTTATAAGACAGGCGGGGTTAGTTGGTCGCCACAGATCCCATTTCACTGGTGAAACTTCACTAGGCTCAAGATGAGTCATCAAAAGTTATATTTACATTTTTCCAGGAAGAGAAAAGAGAAGGACTTTGTTATAAAACTGTGCCCCTATGAACCCACAGACAGCCTTATTAGCATGTTTTAGTTTTTTTGCCTTCACTTTTTAAATACACATTTACTGTGTATGATTCAGTCTCACTGCTCATATTAACCCTGTTTAAAAAAGCAAACAAGTGACGACAAACCCACTGTACGCAGCACCAAAAGCAGACAAAGTTAACTAATAGAAACATGAACATTGTCAATCATCTAGCAGGCTTACTCCTGCTGATATGTGCCTAGTACACTCTTACAAAAGTGCTCGTTAGATGGTCTAACAGTGTCTGAAACCCTTTTGTCGTTTTTGTCCCAAGGTACAGACCTCTCTCAACGAGCTCTAAAATGGGACTTCTCTTTACATACTATTTTTTATGTTGTTTTTGTGACCAGTTTGTTGGCAGGTGAGGCAAAATATAGATCACTACTATATTTCTTTAAGTCTCAATTTTCTGAACGCCATGTCTGTCCTTTATCAATTGCTCCCTCTAGTGACTTTTATGGGTACATACATTTAAAAAACAAAGACTATAACATGGTCAGACATCAGCCCTGTTATTCTTACCTGTTCCAGGACGACGCCTGCGGCCTGGTCGATGGCTCCCCCTACATTCCGGTACCGACCTGAGTAGCGGATGAAGGCCCACGTCAGCATGGACATCATGACCACACCCAGAGTACAGTCACACACCAGGGCGAAGGTAGACAGGCCGACGAAGAGCAGTATACCTGACAGCACGTAGAGGAGGCACACCAGGACAAACAGCACTGCAGGTGTCCGGAAGGCGCTGAAGAGGTTTTTTGACTTTTTAAAGCAAAGAGACAAAACAGATGATTAAGACACTTCCCAAATCACATCACCGCCATTAACAGAAATGCATGCAATTATAATATACTTTACTGAGAATAATTTCAAGGTGGACAACAACTTAAATGTTTCACAAACGCCACACAATAGAAGAATAAATGAGGTACTTCAGTGTAAGATTCAGATGATTACTTCGATGTTAAACCGTTGTAAAGCTTACGTCATGTTTGTGAAATAGTCTACCTCATTGTGCTTGCTGAGTGACTTCCACATTTCCTCCAGCTCACTCTCCAGCTGTGCTTGGTAACGGTCACAAAACTCTTGTCCACCCATCTTCTTGGTAGAGGAGAAATTGTGGAGAGACTCTTTAAAGAAGAATTGATGCTTTTCCTCCAGAGTGTCAGGAGCCACGTAGGGCAGGTCTCCCCCACACACCTTAGAGAGGAAAGACAGAATGTTTGTAGTCAGGATCACATTATGGTGTTACCATGTCCCATAACACCAACAATGATAGACAAACAGAGCAAAGAGGAATTATTTAATGCATCCTGTGACCAACCTTCTCCATGTTCTTGTTATACAGATCTTTGGCTGCTGCCACGGCTGCCAGGTTGTTTGCCTCTGCTGTAGCCTGGTGAGACAAACAAAGCTCTTAGTTAACAGGAATAATTCACGGCTTGTTAAAATGTATGTAAAAATGTATCTCCATACCATGAGCATAGTCTTTGGCTGTGGTAAGTCTTCTCCCTGGTAAATCTTGATGTAAGCCTGGTGAGACAAAAATTATAACATTAGATATAGAGCTGCCACAGACTAAGACTTTTCCTAGTCGACCAATAGTCGTCAATCAGGGCCATTAGTCGACTAGTCGCCCACTTGTTTATGATATTAATTTAATAATTAAATGATATATTTTGGGCGGGGCAACACAACAGTTTGAGTTGAAGGTGTGAGAAAGAATAGTATCAGTAACATTGTTAACACTGTGCTACATTACAGAGAAATACAAAACCATACTAATGAACCTTCATTAATATAGGCCTATATTTTATCTACAAGTGCACGTCACACACTGAGCGAGCCGCCTGTTAATGACACTGTCGGCAAAGCAGTAATGATTGTGCTAAGTGGCTAATGGGCATATAGCTACTAACATGTTTCAGATGATACGTCATGTTTGTAGTCGACCAATGAAGATGAGTTTACGTATCACCTTGGGTTCGTCCTTCACCTTCTCAACTTGATCCCACACTTTGGATTTCCTGCCCGACATGTTATTAACTAGCCTGTGGAATAACCGCAGGTACCAGTCCTGGAGATTAGAGACCGTACACATGCCGTCTTTAACCACCTGGAAAATGTGAGTTTTGGAGCTGGGTGCAATGCTTGTGCCTTTTTGTGCCAGCTTTCAAGGGTGCGGCGACAGGTTGCGTCTGAAGTTGCTAAACAACCATAACAAGCATCATATAGCCTATTTATCTGAAATCCTGAGTGCAGAGTAGTGTTGCACGGTATACCGGTACTAAAATAGTACCGCGGTACTAGAGTATTCCAAACGGTACTATACTGCATTCGGAAAATACCGGTACTTGGAAACTGATTCAATTCATTAATTTAGTTAATTTATTTTACTCATTTATGCACACAAACGCCTTTCTTGTTCCTATTGGAGCACAGATTGCTCAAGTGGTGTGTATGACAACACCTGTATCAACATTCGCAGCTGGCGCACGTGAAAAAAGACAAGAGAAAGTCTGCCTCGCAAAGGGAGACAAACTGTGACGTCCGTACCGAGGTACTTACCGAACCATGATTTTTTTGGTACCGTTACACCCCTACTATTTATAAAGGTTCTAAAGGTTTGTAGCCAAAAGGACTTTTCCTTAGGAAAAGTACTGAAAAGTATCGAAAAGTATCGAAATTCATATTGGTATGGGTACCGAAACAAAGATTTTGGTATCGTGACAACACTAGTGCAGAGCTGACCTTCTTCTAGGTGCTGTTTATAAGCGTGTAGGTCTATCGTCTGTGGGACAGATGTAAAGCTCTGGGTAGCCCTGCACTAACATGATCAATTTTTCCGTATTTATCACAGACTGCGTATTTACAGAAGAAGGGAAAGATATCTGTCGGCTGTGATTGGTTTGTAATGTGACCCCTGTCTGACTGCTGAGCGTGGCCTCTTCCTGTGTCTGTCCTTTCAAATTAAATTCCAATATGGTCCCGTCATATAGGTTTTGATTTATTTTGACAAGGCACAGCTCCTTTATTTTTATTTTTTTTCTGCGACTAAGCGCCCAATGAAATCTTGCCAACTAATGACCTTTCTGGTCGACTAACATTTGGTCGGGAGCCCTAATTAGACATGAATAACTGTTTCGGATTGAGTAGGAAAACTCAGATAGAGGAGACGTTACCTTGAAGAATTCGAGCAGGCCCATGCAAGTGACTTTGTTTCCATTGATTTCTTTCTCAGCCAGTCGATCGGGATGCAGCAGTTTGGGGATCAGGCTCTTCAGCTGCTCTTTGAACTCCGGGGTAACAGCTGACAAAATAAATACACCAAAAATCAGATTCTGCTAAATATCAACCTTAGACACAGCAGAATAACATGGAAAAATGAGGGCTCTTACCACTAAGCTGTCCCTCAAAAACAGGGCTGGTGGCGACCTTCAACCCAGGGTGAGGTAACAAGAAGCAGGAAATGTTGGTGAAGCATGAATGGATGTGTTCCCTCACTGTCTGCAGCTCCTCATGTTGGGTCTCGCTGACCTTTAAGCATCAATAATAAGGTGAAATCCCAAACTCTGTATTTAAAATCAGCCAAGTGTATTTATTAAACAAGACAGAAACCGTACCTGTAACCGTTTATCCAGGAATTCCTCGCCTCCTTTAAAGCCGTACTTGTATTCATAGGGAAAGCTCCAGTCCCTGATGAGGAACATCAGAGACTATGGCGAGAAAATGAAAGGTGAACCCCAACAGACAGAGCAGCAACATCTGTAAAAAAAATGCATCATATCCTGTGGTTTAACTCACCTGAAAGGGCTTCAGAAAGATCTCATCCATGGCAAGACGACCATACTCTGTGAACAGCTGTGAGGAGGAGGCGGCCATTAAGCAAAGTTAACACTGGGATGCAAAAATTTGGAGAGCAATGTTCAAAGGTAAGTTAGGTATTTTTCAACCCGGACCCTATTTTCCTATATTTTTGTGTTTGAGTGACTAATGGAAGAGTCGACCTTTCTGTTAAAGAGTGAGATGACAGCCCCAAAATCACTACTGCCAAACCCACCAGACTCCATTTAAATAAACAGTAATTTTATCATCATAGAACACACTTCATCCAAAGTCAACAGAAACAACATTAAACTCACAAAAGCCTTCTTAGGTCGTCTTTCCACCGTTCCTCCAATCACCAACTCTGGTGTGGTTGAAATAAACCCGTAATTTACCCAGTTAGATGTGAATATATGCTGCCTCTATACACACTTAAATGACTGTTTATTTAGATGGAGTCTGGTGGGTTTGGCAACTGTGATTTCAGGGCTGTTTCTGGTGAAACAAAAAGGATCTTCCTCTTTAACCAAAAGGTCTTTCTCTGTAGAGTTCTTTCCAAAATGTTGTCAGACACCTACATCAACAATACGAGCCTATTATTAGCAAAACAAAGAAGCACTTTTCGTGGACGCACACTGATGGTGCGACATGCCCCTGGTGGTTACATTGCAGCCTGTTTTGCCACAGCCGGCTGCAGCAGTCTCGCTCAATACTGGACCAATTTCAAAAACTGTTATTCCCATTAGTCGCTTTGGAACATGTGGGAACATTTGAGAAAACAGGGTCCACATACCAAATTTACCTTTTAATAAGTAAAGTCACTGAAACACCCTTCTGTTAGAAGCAGGAGAGCTTATTCTAAAGATGTTATTAATTCAGTTTTGTCAAAGGTGGAAATTTTCAGAGCTGTTGTTGCATTAAATCACCATCAGGTTAACTCTAACTATTCTAATACTGATGTATACAGACCTGTAGCTGCTGCAGATCTTCCTCTTGTATGTTCTGTGACAGATTGTAGATCTAGAAAAGAAAAACTATGTCAGTGTACATTACAAGAATGAATATCATTTAAAGAAAATCAGTGATAATCAGAGGAGATCAGTCACCTGTACTGAGCTGGTCATGGTGCTGAGGGCAAAGATGGTGGCGCAGTCCTTCACCGTGGACTCGTTGTCAAAGGCTCCCTGAGTGTCCATCAACACTACTGCCACCTACAGGAGACAAAACGTAGCACATGACATGAACATGAACAAGAATACTTACATTTCTTCTAAACATGTACACTCCGAAAAGCTGTTAAACAGAATAAATCCTTCACTTAACTTACAAATAAAAATAAAAGCAATATAAAATTCTATTTTACATGAAATTATCTGCATTAATGTAAGATGTTGAGTAAATTACAGGACAAATCATTACTCTAAAAATCATTATTCATTCTCTCTAATGTGCATCTGTAGTATGAGCTCTTTGCAGGCCTCTAACAAATTATTTCATTGTTATTCTAGTAATACGTATAACATTCTAATTATTTTTTTCACATTTATTCATTCATTCATTTTTTTGGTAAATGAAACGCGCGTTTCAATTTCCTTTCTTTGCACCACTGTCTTTACTGTGCAATACTGTGCAAAAATTGGTGCAATAATTCAACTGCCGTAATACTCTGTGCAATTATTTAACTGTGCATTAGTGTTCAGTATACTAATTTATTCTTACCAACATCTCTTGAATGTATATATTTATTCAACATATAATGCACATAACTGTACATGTTTCTTGTTTTTATTCTATTGATGTAGTGACCACTATAACATAATATACATATTTTATATTTCTGAATGTAACACTAGTTTATACAGTATAATGTGGCGCAGTGCGCATATTTGTATAGTTTTACACCATTACAGACTAAGCACAGTGAACATACTTTTATTCTCAATATCTTAAGTACTAGTGTTGAACATTGTAGCATAATGCACATTTTTATTTCTTGTATCACTTTATATTCATATACTCTTATTCCTACTTCTTATAATTCTCTCTTCTTTACATCGAGGGGACTGTAATGAATCACAATTTCTCCTCAGGGATCAATTAAGTATTTCTGATTCTGATTGCGAGAACTGAAGGTGACGTCTTCAGATTGCTTGTTTTATTCAAAAAACAATACAGAAACAAAAAATATTGATATGAAATAGAGGAAAAAATCCAAATAATTTAATTCAGGAAGGTAGAATCAAAAAATGTTTGCCTGATTAATGTTTTAAATACTAATTCAATAATCAGAATAGTTGTTGACTAATTTTCTGTACATCAACGATCCAATTAATATTTTTCCGCGCTACAAACATGCAGGTCTGACTAACAAATGAGAGGATGGAGTTACAAAGATAAAAGGAGATAGGCCAATTGAGTGGAAAATATGGAGTTAATTTTAAGAAGCAAACACCAAATAATGACTCAAGTAAAATAAAAACCTTTCCTAAAAATTATTTGACATTATCATCTAAGTTCTAAATACTGTGGTCCTTAGTTTCACTGTAGTTTTTCAGTAACATGTAATCATCTGGTAACACACAAACATACATACGAAACATAGATAAACAAATAAATGGTGCACGCACCTCTGTTCCATCGCTCTTTGTGACGGGGAAAACCTCACTCCACAGCTGGATGCCTGTTGTCTCTGGTTCTGAACCTCCTCTCCAAGAAAATCCAGTGAGCGGCTCATCATCATTACCCAGCCAGTTTTCATCGCCCTGCAGAAATACAAATCACACTTTTCAGATCAGTCCAGGGGCAGGCTGGGGCTTCTCTGTGAAACTCTGTGCATTAAAACCTTCTGGCTCAATCAAAAATTTTAAACATGCCTTGTCATGTAGCTCCAATAATCCTGAGGAATATAGCAGCAGCTGCAGACACTCTATCCTCAAGTGTTAACAGACACTCCAGCTGTTCTACCTAATTTACAACACAGAAAATGGAGTGTAGTCCTCACTCATGTCATAATTATCTCCCCAGTTAGCTTTTCTTTTGACTGCACTGGTTAAACGACACAAACGTTAAATGGTACCCAACGTTTGGCCTGATGGTGGCACTGCAGCAAAGCTAATGAAGTTGGCAAAATCAGTGGGATTTATCAACAACTGCAATGTCAAGCATCAGATATGTTTCCAAGATGTGCACAAAAAAATAAAATAAAATGAGGGCATTCACATAGACTCCACGCCTTAATTAAGGTTATGACTAAATTCTCAAATATTCATGTAAAGTGAACGAGTTAGTTCACATGTTACAGCAGGGATGGGCCTTATTGTGTCAGTCAAAGACAGACTATAAGTAATTTTTCAAGTTATCACACCTCCAACGCAACAGGAGGAACAAGTCTGTATCATCAGCACTCATACGTTGAAGGAAAGCTTTGTTATTTCTTAAACTGAATCCTATGTTCTCATGTTTTTGTGTTTAAGTGACAAACAGAGACAATTTTTCAAGTTGGTCAAATATTGAGAGTGTGTGCTGCAATGTAATCAGAGCGGCACGTGATTTTTTTGCCACTTACAGGCTCAGATTATTATTTTAAATGTCTGACAACATCACAGAAAAGACCCACCAGAAAAATTAAACATTTTTCCTCACTTTTTGCTGATTTGTTTCTTACTGTGACCAAGTGTCGCTCAAGGACTAATCTCATTCTAAAATCTTGGGTTACTTTTGACGCCGGAAACGTTTGTGAGAGTTGGAGATAAGAGTGCTAGATGAGTGTTTTGTGTTGGCGTACAGAAAGCGTGCATAAATCGAATCTGATCTGATGCTTCACACTAAAATAAGGGCGCTGTTGTCTAGTTTGTGCCAGAGTGCAGAGTGACTATTTCCAAACACACTCGTAGTGTTATCTAAAAAATGTTCAATGTCATGGCTGAATATTGAGCTGATTTCAACAATGTGTACAAGTCTGGGAGATTTCAGAGCAAGACTTCTCTTTGAACGTGACTTGTTAACATGCTCTAACAATCAGACTGGATCAGCAAAAGGTAAAGGAAAAACATTTAATTTCTCTGTAGGGTCTTTTACATAATGTTGACGGACACTTATAACAATAACTTAAGTCTGTGATTGCCAAAACAAACACTTTAAGTGGACATACACTGACGAAGCACATTTGCCCACATGGATTACGCTGCAGCCTGTTTCACCACTGCGGCTGTCTGGACCAGCTTCAAAAATAGTTGCTTCCATTAGTCACGCGGACACAACAACATGGGAAAAAGTGCTCCAGCCTCAAAAATACAAGTTTACTTTTAACAACACTTCAGCATCAGGTTGACCTCTATGTACAGTAAGAAAACTCAAGGAGTAAAATATGATGTCTGGAGGAGTGACATGCTGAAAGATCATGTCACAGTGTGACTCACCCTTCTGTACATGTAGCGGAGCATGAAATCAAGCAGGAAGCTCTTGCCCTTCCTGAAGGCTCCGGCCACCGACAGCACCACCACATGTTTGTCTCGGACCTTGGGATCCAGCAGAACCCGAGTCAGAGCCTCGGTGTCCAAAGTGAAGGAGTGTTCCTCCTTACACACTGTGACGATCTGAACTGGGCCTGGTTCGCTCCCCATTCTTAAGAGGCACTGGTCCCTGGGAACAGACAAAAACAGCAGCTTGATATTAGTACTGGAACAATTTAAGGGCCACAACTAAATTATTATTGTTCATTTATAGGCCCATTATTTGATAAATTGTGTGGTGTATAACCCTACTGGTCAAGGGTGACAGCTCACAGTTGCCACCCCAAACAAACATTTTAAAGTAACATAAAGCATAGAAAAGAAGCAAATCTGAGAAAGTGAGAGTACTGTGAATCTTGGATATTTTTCTTGACAAATAAATCTAACAATTAATCAATTATAAAAAATAGTTGCCAATTAATTTTCTGCCCATTTACTGATTCATTCCGCACTAGTGTTTTCAATATACTGGAAATTTCAACTTCAATCAAGCTTTTATTAAAACATAAAAATAACACAGCTAGTTTTCTTCTCTTGGTTTGTGGCAGAAAACAGCAGAATGACTGTAGTAAACATTAACAGTAAGAGAGAGTGAGAAAGCACAGCTGGTGCAGGTGTTGGGATACTGCAGAAAATCAGTACTGAAACCGTTTTAGATATTCAGAATTTGACAACACTGTTTAGCACTAAATTATTTCTTTAAAAATCACTTTTAGTCTGCAACATAGGGTTATTAAATTTAACTGTAGAGCATCATTTAATAGTTTTAGTTGTTAATATTTAACAAACACAATCATCAAACATTTGCTGGTTCCAGTTTCATAAATGTGTAGAGGAACTTGATTTCCTGTATTTTAAGTTATTATAAAAACTATTATAATAAGTTCCTCTTTTTTATTTTATTTTTTTTTTAATTTGTTGTTGTGTGTGTGTGTGTTGGCTAATTCTAAAGCATTGTTAAAGCTCTAATTAACTTGTAATGGACATTTCATAATAGAGTTATTGTCTGCCCATGATCAAAACAGAAATCATTTAAAGTAAATTGGTTAAAATGAAATAATCAGTAGATAATCAATCATCACAGCAGACATTAGTTGTAGGCCCACAGGGCAAATTGTTTAAAGGTCACTCTGCTGAGGCATGCAACTGACTGTCTTTCCAGCGTCACTAAGACGTGAGATTTGGATGGTAATCCCACCCAAAGCTGTTTACTCGTGTCTGCCATTTCGCCTGTGCCTACTGAAAAAAAAAATCAGCCATGAACTGATCCTTCATCAGACACAATATTTAGCTGTGTGCAGCAGACTGTGGGTGCGCTCTTATGGGTGTCATGCTGCTTTGCCTCCAGCTTGTGGATTCACCATGCTCTCCAACACACTGATCATTTCATCTGCCTCAAAGGACTCAATTGTTGTCGCTCTCCCATGATGACTATGACAGGGAGGTGCTTTCATAACAGTTTATCTGTGATTATAATGCCTAAAGCTCGCTGTCTCCTTTGACTAAAAAAAAAAAAAATCTACACCTCAAACGAGGTGTGGCAGTCAGCAGCAGCATGCCAGGCATTTCTCTGCTCTGGATGTGTTGCAATGTAGAGAAATTCTGCAGCTAGGAGACCAAACTGTATTTTGCAACCTGTCTGCGCTTTGTCATAAACCTCAAACTAAGCTGTGCAGTACTTTCTCTGTAATTTACCCTGCTTAATCTTAGCAACTGCCACTTAGCGTTGACAGCGATGTTGGCTACGCTGGCAGAGGACTTGTACCAGTGTGGCTAAACTACACAAATCTGTAACGTTAATCTGGATGTAACCGAAAGGCTCAGCAGCTAGCTAACGAGCAAAAACACACAACTATTGACGGGCTATTTTACTATTTAACGGTTGTAGCTAACGTCTGACTGTACTCAACAACAACAATACAAAAAAGCAAACCGTTTTTAGCCAATGAAGGAAACGAGTGTTTCAAAACGACCGTTGCAGCAACATTTTACGACGTAAAGCCTAAATTAGCAAATCTGAGAGCTTTAGCTTCTGTTTGAAGGTGTCATGTTACCTTTGGTGTCTTCAAACGGCTTCAACAAAGTCTCACAAGAGGCGAGAAACGACTGAAGCGTGACTTTTTTCTACACTGGCATGAAAACAACTATGAGAACTTTTTTCCACCACGAAACCACTTCCGCCTTCAACGAGCGCAAAGTCTCATGGGAAATGTAGCTTCGATGTGGTTTCCTGCATTTACTTTACTGTGTCTTCGAACTACGCTACCCAACGTGCCACGTAGGCGTTAGATTGTGTCAACCCTGCCTCATAGCTACGGGAAATGTAGTTTTTTAAATGTAAAGTCACGAATACGGAACTACCTGACAGGTAAAGTAAAACAGAACTTGTCAAGAAGTGTTTTGCATAAATACAAATCAGAGCTGACATATTTCCGTGGATAAAAATACACTGTAGCTAAGCAACATGTTTTTGTCTGAGAATATACCATGTAAATATTTATCTGACTGTCACGCCCTCTAATGGTTTTATTCGTATTAACAACAACACTTCATAGATGATTTAAATACCCAAACCTAACCTATAACATTTTTTATGGGCTGGATAAAAATATGCAATGGACTTAAAAATGATTTGAACAAATTATTTGTAAGATGTGGAAAGAAACATTGCAAAAAAATATTTTTAAAAAAAAATATGGTAACAAACTGCCAGACAATTTTACTTCACAAGAACGGCATGACAAGATTTTATTTGTTAGATTATAAAATCTAAAGCTTTGGACAATACATACAATTTACAAACATTAATTCAGTGTACCCTGAAATGTAAAGTGGTTTAAATGGCAGTGAAATAATTTTGCATTTTAACTCCCAATTGAAAACAACTCAGCATAGATTACAGGATCATATCTATGTTTTCAAATTCACAGAAAACTAATAAGAGACATTGAGGAACATAACATCATGTACAGAATGTCAACTCCAGCAAACATGATTTGAAGAGTGACAATGGGTGTAGAATTAATTAGGAATCAAAGTGGAAGTACTTATATTATTGTAATCAAGTGATGCTTTCCCACTTTTCTTACAACTAAATTATAAATTAATTTTTATTTTTTGAACTATTATACTCAGCTAATTCTAGAAAGGCGGCATTATCACAAAATGCTACAGAAACAGTGTTAAGGGGGCAAGATATTCATTTTAAGATTGTTTTGTTGGTCACCACATGGAGTCAAATTGGCCAGTAAGACATGTTCTCATTACATAATAATGTGTGAGTCAAGAGCTATGTTTTTACTTTGAAGGCTATATAAATCTTACTTTAACATGGGAAACTTGGGAATCTTGAGTTGAAATCACTCCTTCCACCCCTGAGAATGAACTAAATGTGTTAAAAAAAAATCACAGTGAAAAACCCATAGCGTATTAATACTTGATACCCCTCTGTTTTAAAATCTCAGAGTATAATTTTGTCCATGATTTTTTTTTTTTACATTACACTCTCAAATCTTTGTCCAGCATATCATTGTATGGTATGTTATGGTGGTAAAATTCATTTCTGCATTTTAAGTGCCTGAATACATATGAAGTAATATGATCCATTGTCTCATTAGTCCATCAGAAAGTTGATCTATACTTTTACCTAACTACAAAATAATTCACAAGCCTTAGGGCAGTGTCAGCGTTTCAGGAAGGAGCAGCTGATCATCTTATCATCCCTCCCATCTATTAACACTTAAAGGAACAGTGTGTAAGACATAGAGGGGTTTAGTGGCATCTATCAGTGAGAACTGCTCCCAGTTAGGATTCCTTCAAAGTTTATTGTACAGGAGATTTTTTTTTTTTTTTACCGGGAGCTGAATTATCGGCAGAGGTCTCTTTCTCTCCAAAACATACAGACCATGTGATTTAAACCTGTAAAAACACTGAATAAAGCAGTTTCATGTTAAAAATCAGTGTTTCTCTGACGCTGTTTGGTATGTCAGAGATGGGCCTGCTAATGTTGCTCACTCTTTTTTCTTTAACAACTTGAGATCCAGACACTCAGGAGGTTTTTACCAGAAGCTGAATTATCCACAGAGGTCTCTCCCTCTCCAAAACAAATGGACGCGGTGATTTAAACCAGTAAGAACACCGAATGAAGCAGTTTCACGTTAAAAAAATCAGTGTTTTTCTGATGCCCTCATTGCAGAGGGGCTAAGTATGGTCGCTGACGCAAAAACATGAATGGCCCTATCTAGAGCCAGTGTTTGGTTTGTACCATCTGGGCTACTGTAGAAACATGGTGGTGCCAAATGGTGATCTATGTGGACAAGGATTCATTTCAGGTGATGATACACTAAAGAAAACATACTTGTCATATTCCATTTCTACCAGTATATCCCCCTAAATCCTACACACTGCACCTTTAAGACTACAAAACATAATCCTTATTTTTTCTCATTTCCTCATTTGCTTTCAATATATTGAAGCATTGCATCAGGTGTGATTGTTAGATGAGATGTAACACTAATATCCACCACCTGCCAGGTCCAGCAGTGACCCAGCAGCCTCCTGGGCCTCGGCATCCAGCTGAAGGATCTCCACAGTCTCCAGGTCCAGCTCGGTGTCACCCGGCAGCACCAGGTACTGGTACTGGTGAGACTGGTAATAGTGTAACTCGATGTACCCGCTGTCTGACAGGGGGTCCTTCTCCATCTCCTTGCTAACCTCCTCCTGCTGGTAGTCAACCGACTCCATGGTGACAAGCTCCTCGTGATCCGGGGTCAAGGGGCACGGAGGGCTTTCAGAGAAAGTTGGGTTGTCGGTGTTCAGGATTTGGGGTGAGGGCGTGGAAAGGAGGAGGGTGTGAGAAAGAGGATCTGCATGAGAGAAAAACATCGAGCAGAATATGAATCAAAAAGCACAACATCAATATTAATAACTTGTTTTCATTCAGGCTGGTTAAACGACCACTTGTCAGATTCTTTAGTGAGCATGAAGACCCATATAGCACCATAGGCTCAGAAATAAACTGAGGGGATATAAAGGAGACTAAGCTAGGCTATTGCTGGGTTGCCAAGGTAATAGAAGGTTGTTGCCATGCCAACAGAACACAAACAGGGGAACAATGTTGCATGCTGAGAAAGCTGCAGAGAGGGAGAAAAGCTGTGGGCGATAAAAGTGTCACAGAGAGCTGTTACACCACTGATGACATATTGTCGACTAAAATAAATTCTTAAAGGGTCAAGTCAGTGCGTTCTTGTGCTAATTAAGTGACACGAGCCCGCTGTGAGTCTCCTCGTCACTAACCTGAGATTTCCATAGAGTCGCACACTGCAGGCACCCCAAACTCAGCTCCTTCCAACCTGCACACAACATGGCAAGACAGACAATGACAACTACATGAATTAAGTTTGTGTGCTTGTTTAAAGATTTAGTATGCAGGATTCTCCAAAAAAAATCAATGACAACTCATACAGAAGTAATTCCTTGAAAAAAAAATCATCACTTATGACCCACTCAAAGTGTGTGGTGATGTATTTATCTGCAGAGACTCTGCCCTCTACCTGTGTTTTCTGTTTTCTTCTTATGTTTTGTGCACAGACTTTTACAGGCATGTACCCTGACAGCGCTCAGGTGAGGGCAGGGCTTTACAAAAAGGAAGCAACCAGGTGCCAGACTATAAGCAGACGGCATCCGAGAGACACAGCGCCAAAAAATGCAAATATAATGAGGCGAAACATCAAATGAGAGTGAATCTGGGGCTGCATTTTACTTTCAATTTAGCTGGCGAGTGTGTTTACAATCCTGCATGGTATACCTTTAAAATACACCTAAGTAAGAGAGTCATTAAAATGTGAAACACCTCACCACTACACACACATTATACTTTACTGCTCTGGTTAGACAGCAATCTCACAAATCATTAAAATGATCAAATGATTACTTTTTCTTACAATGAATGAATCAATCAATCAATCTATTTATAAAAAACATTTTAAAAAAATGCCCCTTGCAGTTTGCAAGAGGTCCAAGGAAATGTCTTCAGATGGCATGTTTGGTTGGATCAATAGCCAATTATACAGAGATATTCAATTTGAAACTGTGAAAAGCAGTACATTTTTCACATTTGAGAATCTGGTGTGTGAACCATGTGTGGCATTTTTTTCTTGCCTAAGTGACTTGGAAAAGGTTAACACATATTTAAAAGTCATAATGAAAAGCATAGATGTGGGTGGGAGGTGGGGCAGGGGACATGACCCGCTAAATATTTAGAACATGTGTTTGCAGAGGACTTTAATTTTGAACAAATAAGTGACATTTACACCATAAGCTGATGCAGAGGAGGCACAAATTGGTGCATATAAATTCCACAGTATGAAATGTTGAAACTTAACCTACGCCCATAATAAAAATAATTTGTTGCAGTCCTGTTGCATAAACTCAAACTGCGTGATTATACTCACAGTGCGGGCTTGTTTAACAGATGGATGTTGTTGCTGTGATAGCTGTGGGTCTTCCTCAGCACTTCAAGGAGCGCAGGCCGATACTCTGGACACACACACCACAGCGATCCCTTCCCCACTGACTGAAACAAACACACGAAACCACTTGAAACATTCAGACTGCAATGGGCCGTGCAAAGATTTCAGCAATGCTGAAACACCAAAAAACAACCTCAACACATGTGGAGCACATTATATGCCCCTGTAGGGCAGTGTAGTTGCTGACTTGACTAAAACTCAGCACATCTGGATTCAGTGTGTTGCTCAAGGACATTTGTGTAATATGGATGCTTGAACCTCTGTCTTATAATTTAAGTACACTCCATTTAGCCGCTACATGACCCAGTTGCTGATTCATGTCCCCACCTGGCTCTTGTCCCTCTGAATGCGACGGAAGCTCTTGCTCAGGGACAGGTTGTGTCTGACAGAGTTCCTCCAGCCTCCAGCAGCTGTCCTGTAGTAAGGGAAATTGTTCACAATCCAGTCGTAGATGTCCTTCACTGGAAGCCTCCTGTCAGGTGAGTCTTCTATAGCCATGAAAATCAGACTACTGAAGGAGTATGGTGGCTTGGACGAGGCAGTAGAAGGAGGTTGGGTTGGTGTGGAGGACTCTAGCTGAGGCAGTGCTGTCATTTTGGGAAGGGGCTGCAGAGGTAGCAGGTTGCTCCTCTGATGCAGCCAGTTGAGGCAGGTCAGGTCATCCTGGTCAGATACGTTTCCTGGGCTGAGGCACTGTATGTTTTGTCCTTCGAGGCACTGAGATGCTGTGCAGTGCGACAGAGGTGAGGATGAGTGAACAGACTCTGCTGTTGCTGGAGAAAGTGAGGAAGGGGATGGGGGGAATGAAATAGGTGAGAGTGGGAGTGAAACACGGCCATTTGAGCAGGTCTGCTGCGGCGAGGAGGAGAAAGGCAGGGACCCTCCATAAGTGGTGGGACACGGTGTCAAGGGTGGCAGTGTATGAGAGCTATTCTCCATCTCACTCCCAGGAGGAAACTTCCAGGGTCATTCAGCTGTAGCACTGCTGGAAGACATGACAGACAAAATTCAAGGTTAATGCTGAAAGGAATGATTCAGGTAAATCAGGAATAAAAGTCTCCTCCTGTAACTGCTGCACATGTTCATTTACTCTGTATATATCATGCATGTTAATATCTACCCCTCACTGTTTATTCTATATCTATTAGGGCCTGAGCACCAACCGCAGGTGGAGGCCCTATTGAAACTGCAATAAACTGAGGAAATTAATCACATTTTTGAGGAACTAAAGATGCTCAAAAACTCACAAAACATCACACAAACATAAGAACTGGTGAAAAATTTTGATATTTCATGGGTCTTCATCTTGGGTGTGACAAAATGGCTCAATAGTGCTTCCCTACTAAATTCAACGGAGTAGCCCCAACGGTGCACTTTACCTAGATCTACCAAATTTGAAAGGCACATGTAGCATTTCAAGACTTAAAAAGTCTCCTGGTGCCACACCATAGACTACAAATAACGGACGTAGCTACTGTGACGTCGCACATTGGTTTGTGGACTCCCATTTTGAACCTTCAAGTTCAGCATTTCAGCCGTCGCCATCTTGGTTTTTGGAGCCAGAGGTGATCATATTTGGTCGAGAGGCTGGAGCTGTGGAGGGGCAATGGTGGATCTGACTGAAAAGCTAAGGACACTATAGCACAAAGCTTGTCACTCAAGTGACTCACCCTTAATTATGCGTAAATGTACGCCTACATTAAATGTAAACGGGTGAGTTATATACAGTTACAGTTTTAATGAATGTTAAAATTAGCTGTACAGAACAAAATGTATTCGTACCAGGCTGTAAATATGTTTATATTTATGCTGTAAAGTTGGGCATTTTAACATGGGGGGGCATTTTTGCCATTTACAGGCACTGTACTTTAACAAACTCCACCTACAGATTAAACTCAACTGACTTCAAATTTTGGCTGTGTTATCTCAAGACCTTAGCAATGCTACGCTGAGAAGCTTTTGAATTTTTGTCAAACACCTTGGCTGTGGGGAGGTGTTGAATTTCCATGTTTCGCCAAGACAAAGAAAGCAGTCTGTCACTTAATTTTACATAGTCCACATACCTGAAATAATCTTCATGCCTATACTGAGTCATAGTCATAGTGTCACAGCTGACAACAAGCCGTCAGCCGTATGTTAAAAACATCATCTGAGTTACATGAGATTTACATGGTGTGGTCGACACATGATCAACAGCAACATGAAGTATGATTCATGTGTGTTTTTTTGTGCCTCATAGTGGACTTAGGAAGTGGTAAAAAAGTTATATTACGTCATTTTCAAAGAAAAAACATCTAACTGGAGTGCACTGTCTGATATCTGCAGAAAGCATGGCTGCATCAACTGGTATCCGTGCAGGAAGGCCCAGGGGCCTGTTCATCACTGCTTGCAGCTTTAATTCTGTATCTTATTGTTTGTTCTATTACTTTGCACCTTACTGCTTTTTGCACCTCTGTTTAGATGCTAAACTGTATTTTGCTGTCTCAGTACTTGTTCTGTGATATACCCAGTAACAATAAAGATTTATTCATACAGCCCAAAAACACAAATAACAAAGAGCTTTACGATTTGTTTAGCATACAACATGTCTTTTTTGCAGAGCAAACAGAATTAAGGATAGTGAAACTGCACTATATTTGAATTTAGGCTTTTTTGTTTCCATTTTCAAGGTATAGAAAACAAACTTTAAATACTACCTTGAAAAACTAAAATAATCCAAACATGCAGGGTAGCTACTCCAGGGTTGACCCAGCTCCAAAGTCTTAGACTAAAAGAGCTGATGGAAAATGCTGGAGAAAAAGAGAAATATTCCAGTTAAATGTTAGCCATCCTTTCCCCTCTGATGAGCATCCTGTTCATGTACAAAGTCCACTGTGTGTACACTCTCACAGTACCATCTCACGTTTTAACAGCCTCTAAACACTAAATGTGCCCAGTGGACAGGTGCAGAAACACACTGTTGCTCGTAGAGTGCAACAGTGCGCGATGGTGCGCTTTAACAAACTAATAATACACTTAGTGTGTGTAAAATCAGATTTATAACGCACTGTTAGTTTGCCTGTGATGCCACATGGCTCTACAATGCAGTTCAGAAGGCAAATGGCGGAACAATATAAAGTTTCATTTAGTCAGGAAAGCCGCCTTTTCCTCTCACAGGTGAGATTAGCTGTTGCTCCAAAATACATAATATTAACTATTTACTCACCAAATCACCAAAACGATAATCAGGCAGAGTTCACAGCTGCTTAAATGTCCAAAAAACGCGTCGTTTCAGAGTTAAAGGTGAAATTATGGTGTTGAAAACTGGACTCGGAGTTGGACACCTCTGCCTCCGTGTTCTGTTGCTGTCCGAGGTCTCCATGGAAACCAAAAGGACGCTTTGCAGGGTGCGCGTGCCCAGGCGCACTCCCGCACAGATTATACAGCCTGACACCAATAAACAGAGGAGACAGAGGACTCACATCCAACAAGACAGTGAAATATAAACAGCAATACCCCCAAGATAAACACCTCATAAAGTAAACAGGAAGAAGTTTTCATGTATTTTTTACTTAACTAAAAGCAGTAGGCCTAACCAAGTACATCACTCAACTACTGTACTCTCCTTAACCTCTTGAGACCCCAGCTGTTATTTAGCATGTATTTTTAACGGCTCCTAGCTATTTATGATGAGGAGGACCTGGTTAGTTTAAAAAATTAAGTATGAAAAGCAAGAAAAAAAAAAAAAAAGAAAACAGGTGTCGTCATACAGGGGGCATTGGGTTTATTTTTAATAATCACAAGTGTGCAATAAACTGTAAAACTGGTTATTTTAATGCCTGAAATTTTTTGTCCAGAAACAAATACAACATTTGTTAAATGTTTTGTAAGTCTATGGGTTAGGGGTCTCTGTGTGGGGCAGCAGTACCTCAGCCCATAGGAACTGTAGGTTCAAGTGCCTGTCTGGACTGGACTGGTAGCTGGAGAGGTGCTAGTTCGCCTCCTGGGCACTGCCGAGGTGCCCTTGAGCAAGGCACTGAAGCTCCAACTGCTCAGGGCACCTGTCCAAAGCAGCCCCCTCACTCTGACATCTCTCCATTTAGTGCATGTATAGGTCCTGTTTGTGCATGTGTGTGTGTGTATTTCGGGCCTGTGTGTATATGACAACAGAGTAAAAAAATTGAATTTCCCCACAGGATTAATAGAGTACTTCTTCTTTACTTCTAGTACTTAAAGAATATTTTGATGCCAATACTTAGAACTTAAAGGTCCAGTGTGTCGGATCTAGGGACATCTATTGGCACAGATTGTATATAATATTCATAACTATGTTCCCATTAGTTTATAATCACTTTAAAATAAGAATCATGTGCTTTTGTTGCCTTAGAATATACAATTTATTGTATATCTACATACAGCGTGGATCCTCTGTTCCGGAGTCTGGCTAGTTGTTCTACAGTAGCCCGAAATGGACAAACCGAACACTGGCTCTAGAGTTTCCATGTTGGCCACCATAGTTCTCCTACACACTTGGCACACAGTAGAGGTTTCAGTTCTGCAACCTCACCCCTAGATGCCACTAAATCCTACACACTAGACCTTTAAATGTTGTTTTTAATGCAACTTTAACTTGTAACAAATGAGGTATTGCTACTTCCTGTCTTTTAGTACTATGGAGGACTTCTTCCACAACTGTGTGAAAGAACAGACAGTGTGAAAGTAAAAGTCCTGTCTTTACAAATCTAAAATGTAAAGGAGTTTCAGCAAAATATACTTGAACTATTAAAAGAAGTCATAATGCAGCACAATAACTATGTTTTTCACATATTATATATTTATTACTGCTGCATTAACATCTACACAGCATTTTGATATTTTAGCATGTCTACATAAGACAATACTTTTTTTATATACTGTTGTGAGGGTTAATCATAAAGCTGTATATTGTATGAGCTCATCATTTGTGTGTTAACTATAAAATAACCTGTGCTATTAAATTGAAATCAAAAACTAAAATACTTTTCCCTGAAAGTACTGTGATTGAAGTAGAAAGTTACATAAAATGGAAATACTCAAGGAAACAACAAGTGACTCAAAATCATACTGAAGTATAAAACTTAATGTAATTTTTGTTTAAGTCCACCTGTGCAAAATATTTCATCACTAGTGATGCACTTTTTCTTAAATGGCATGTAACACATTATGCTGCAATTATACTTAATGCAGTGGTTCCCAACTGGTCCAGCCCCGGGGTCCAGATTTCTCCTTAGACATTAGTTCAGGGTAAGGATAGTCCGATACATCGGCCGGCCGATATATCGGGCCGATATTTGAGTTTTTTACTTGTACTGGCATCGGCCGATACGCGCGTGGGTTCGCGGATTTATTTTTCCCTGGCACTTTTTTCATTTGAAAATATGTGGTTAAGTTGAACAAAGCTGCTGAATCCTACTGTGTACAGTAGTTGTTGTTTTATTTATGCTTCAGCTTAAATATTTGTTTATTTTATAAAGACATTACTGGAAGATTTAAGAGCACTGAACTCTTTTTTTTATTTGAATGTATAATAATAATAATAATAATAATATTCTACCTGTTCTACCTCAACTTTCCATCTTGTTTTAGTATTTTTTACTGTTCAATAAATGTTTCTTATTTTAAACTTGAGACCTGAAATATTTGTTATCATTGTGTCATTTTTTTTATGTAAATTGAGGGAGCAAAAGCAGTATCGGGCCCAAATATCGGCTCAAGAAAATCGGCAGTCCATAATTGGTCATCGGCTAAGGGTGATGGAAAAAAATCGGTATCGGCATCGGCCCTAAAAAATCTATATCGGTCTATCCCTAGTTCAGGGTCCACACAGTTTAATATATTCAGAGTCATACTTCCGTTTGGCCATGCTGCTGAGCTAGTTAACTGTCTCTGTGAAGTAGCTGTCTGTTAGTCTATCTCTCTACAGCAGGAAACAGCACTTCATGATAAAAGCACTGTGCTGGAAATTCACTGTACTTAAAAACAATGTGTGTGGTTTTTTGTTTTACAAACTTGACATGTTCATGAGTCGGTCGAGAACGGTCCGTTCAGAATGGACTCATGACCCACCAGTTGGGAGCCACTACTTTAATGACTACACAACTACAGATGACACTTGATGTAAATATAATGGAGTAAAAAAATAACCCAATTTTCCTCAGAAATGTTATGGAGTAAACATACATCCGTAGATAAGCACAGTAATTCTAAGTTTTTAATTTCAGTTTCTTCCCACCTCTCTGTCTCAGTCAGACTGCTGATTTCTGGCACCAACTTTAGAAATAAATCAGATACAACTAATGTTCCCTGCAAAACTATAGCTTTTTTTAAGAAAGAGTCTCAGAAACGGTTAAAATTGAATACACAAAGCTAAATATATTTATTTTTTTTCTACAAAAAATTCAAACATTGTCATGCTGTCAATTTTAGATAAATAAAATCCAGGACTCACAAGAAAAAAGGGTGATAATGCAGCAACAATACCATACCAGAAGATTGGTACTTGCATCATGTGTGTAATATGCGTTTGATGTGTGTGGTGTGTGTACTGTGGGGTGCAAATACTGTATCATCAATCATGTGAAGGGACAATGTATAAAAGAAAACTTAAACTGAGTTATAATTAAACAAACCTCACAATAAAAGCCCTTTTTCTTCAAAGTTAAGTGGCCAAAAATAAACATTTGTCAGAGTTACTGTACACCCATGTTGGAAAACAACTTCCAGTGAGACACTTTATGCGTCACACTCTGTGGTGAAATCAACAAAACCATTTCATTACAAACATGTCCGTCTGACAAGCTCGACACATACTGCAGCTCAACACCGTCTACATATGTTTTGAGTTTACTGACAAAAGAGCGTAAAAAGGCAGGTGTACAAACACTCAACAACCACGTTTTAGGTCCAACACACTTGGACTTCTGGTTATTTAATGCCTCCCGGTCACCTGACCAGGTGAGAGGTTAACCAGTATATAATGATTGGCTGGAACACTGCAGTGGCCACAGTGATATAAAGGCGGAATTGAGGTTTGGCACTTGATCCAGTTCCCATGGAGTCCGAGGAGAGAGAGGGAAGGATCTTCATTTTCAGAGATCGAACCTGCCAAGACAAAAACATCTTTAAACGTCCAATTCAGGCCAACATGATGTGTGCTTTTCAGTAAAATATTGGAGCATTGTTAAAGGTATACTTACAAGATATTCTTAAAAAAACAATGTATTGAATCATACAAATAAAATCCCTCTCAATCATCACTTATGACCCAAAAGAAGTGTGTGATGGTGCATTTTCTGCAGAGACTCTATCCACTGCCCGTATTTTCTGATTTCCTTCTGATATTGCTGTGTTCAGGACGTTTTTCGGACTTTATAAACAGGCAGAGACCAGTGGAAGTTGTGTTAGACTTTCTCGTCCGTCATTTTGAGGGACAGGTAGTAAAATTCGGACATAATCTATTATTACCTTAATTATAGCTGCTTCTGGGTGATAAATGTTATCACTATCAATGTTACCCCCTTGACCTTCATCCTCCGCCGCATCAATCTCTCTTCTTTTTATTTTTGGGCCCTGAAGCTTCAGTAACATTAGTAATTAACAGCAAATGTTTTGAACACTTCATTTTTACTATATACAGGATTCCCACATATTTTCATGGGACAAAATTTCAGAACCTTTCCATGACTTTTCAAGTATCCATAATACATGTAAACTTCAGAAAAGCATGCATTTCACTGTGTCTGCTACACTTGCCTGCCTGGTTACCGTACTTCCCTCAACACACACATGCAGGAGAGCCCTGCTTCCCGTAAAAAATGCCGCCATACTATGTCACATATACACGTAATGTCTAAAAGCAGAAGGCTTAACTGGTATAAGTCATGGAAAATGAGAACCATGTCTAGACTTAATTTGTCTTACTTGACATTGCACGTCCAGCAATGGGAATATTGCACATCGCAATGTTGATACTGAAACGATATATCGCACAGCCCTAGGTTGATGCATATTAGAGCCACATTATGTCAACGGCTAACTTCGACATAGTAAATTTGCTGTTATGTTACATTACGTGGAGGGTTATCCCCAGAGGATTAGTATAACAAGGAATTTAATTACAAAATTCCATAGGTTTTCCAAAACGTTGAATGATTTTTATGACTTTTACAGGCCTGGGAAATGAGATTATGAAATTCCATGACTTTTCCAGGTTTTCCATGATCGTGGGAACCCTGTATATGAAATGGGTAAACTCTCAATTCATTGTTAAGCTGTGTGCAGCACAGTGATGTACCATAATGACGCACAAAGCGGATA